CGCCGCCGCGGGCCTCTGAAGCCGACCGCCGCCAGATCTTCAGTAGAAGCGGGTGGATATGGGCACGGTGGTGGCGGGTGGCGCAGTCCGAGAGCGGAGGAGGCGAGGCGACGGAGGAGGCGAGGATGGATGGAGAGAGGCAACCAACCGCGTCGCCTACACGCGACCGGGCAGAACCAGAAAAGGCCAAAAGGAGCTGAGCTTTTAAACGGTGAGCTGGCCCACGCCCGTCGAAGCCGGTCACACACACGATCGGAAGACCGGCAACCAGGAGCATGGCATGGCAACGTGGCAGACGCGGATTGGAAAGCCGTACCTAAGCGAGAGGGCGGGATGTCCGTGGCCTTGCGGATTACGTGCGTGACGCCGACCTCTCCGGTAGCGTGGTACGAAGCGCCGCGGCGAAGCGCCATCCACGCGCGCCTCATCGTTGTGGACCTCGGCCTCGAGGTCCGTGACGCACACGTGCCCGCCTCCTCGTCGTTCGAGCCGCTTCGCCACCGCGGCCTCTGGCCGACCGCGCCAGTCTTGATGAGAAGCGGGTGGATATGGGCACGATGGGTGGCGGGTGGCGCGCGATCCGAGAGCGCGGAGGAGGCGAGGCGACGAGGAGGCGAGATGGATGGAGAGAGGCAGCCAACCGCGTCGCCTACACACGACCGGGCAGAACCAGAAAAGGCCAAAAGGAGCTGAGCTTTTAAACGGTGAGCTGGCCCACGCCCGTCGAAGCCGGTCATACACACGACCGGAAGACCGGCAACCAGGAGCACGGCGTGGCAACGTGGCAGACGTGGATTGGAAAGCCGTACCTAAACAGTAGGCAGGATGTCCGTGAGCGTGCGGATTCTAGGAGCTATATAGAGTTTCATATATGAAAGAGGAGCCAGAGGTTCAACTAGCCGCCTCGCGTGACTGCGAGGAGTCTAATGATTAACAGAACCGACTAAACCATGCGCTATTTTGGACGGTGCCGCTACTTTTGAACCTGTGAATCGATTCAAGTGCTACAAAAAGCATGTAAATTCTTATGAGTTTTGTCCACTCACTCATGTGTCATTTTTCTTTTCTTATTATTAGATATTAGATGACATAAATTCTAGCTACTCCTACTAATATGATATGGTTGGGTTAACCTTATCAGTGTAAGATGACTTTTGGACTATGTTTGCTGAATTAAGGAAATGTAATGATATTTTTTCTTTTCGTGCAACGTACGTGCGTGCAACACGTTTGCAAGTATATAAAATAAAAAAAGAAAATAAAAAAACAAGAAATTGCAAAAGAAACGTGTGAAATGTAACAGCCCAGAAGATGCCCGTGTGCGCTCTTCCCGGGCCGAAAATCCCCATACTGGGCTGGCCGTCCACCGCATTCTCGTTGAGGCTTTTATTTTGTGTCATTATAAAAGTCAGTAATTACACATAAGTCATTAAAAAAATTGAGTTCTCACAGGTGCCACTGCTTTGAACTCTTTTACTCTTCACGCTACTTCTGTCAGATTTAGCTGTAACGGTGTTAAACCGTAGTGTGAAAAGTCAAAAATACACTCAGGTCTGAATATGCAATTATTTTTTTTAAGCATTTTAGTGACATCAAATAAAAAATCTCAAAACAGAGAAAGTTATAGATCGATCTCGATAATATCTACAATTTTTGTATAAAAATTATCTTCATTTAATTTGTAAAAAAATATGATTTGATATGATTATGTCTTAGAAAAATCACATTTTTTTACAAAATCAATTGAAGATAATTTTTATATAAATATTGTAGATCTCGATGCGATCTATAACTTTCTAGTTTTAAGTTTTTTTATTTGAGATCGTTAGGATGCTAAAAAATTTAACTACATATTTAGATATAAGGGTATTTTTTACTTTCACAACCACACGATTGAGCAAAATCTGACAAAGTGGCACAACTTAACTTTTTTAATGACGTGTGCGTGATTGGTAACTTTTATAATGACTCACACATGAAAGCCTCGTTCCCCTTCCGTTCACCCAGCGTGCGTTTGTCTCCCTGGGCTCTTGCACTCCTTTCTCTCTCCGACGACTGGTGCCTCGCCCTTCTCGCTCTCCGACGAGGCGACGACTGGTGAGCCGCCGGCGCCGGCGCCACCCTACGCCAGGTGCCGAGGCTTTCGTCGGCCTATTCGCCGGTGACGAGCACCCACCAGGTATTCCCATCCTTCTCTATTCCCTTCCTGCTGTGCGAACCCGAGCATTAAACCCTAACCTACAACTATTTATTTGGCTATGGTAGCGAGTGATTTTGTTTGCATGTGTATTTTGGGCGGGTTTGGTCACCAATGTCTGGTCTTTTGGTTGTTGAAGGCGTTTGGGTGCTTCCAAACCTCGATTTCATTTTGCTCCATGGCGCTGCCAATTAGTAGCCACGAGTCCATTTCTGGTTTGGTTAGGTTTCTCTAAGACCCTTCAGGACTCAATCAATAAAGCTTTGAGATATGTGCTGGTCTCCTTCTGGAGACATGCATCTCTTCGGAGATGGGAGGGTGCCTGTGCTTCTGGCGCCACAGACGTTATTGTGTGATTTCGTAGCTGAATAGTTGTGTGTGTTAGACTGTTAGTGGCTGATTGCAAGAATGTCCATGTATATTTGATAACTAAGGATTGCTTTTTTCCGCTGTTGTACATGTTTCGCCTTTGATGCAGACAGAAAGAAGTCTTTCTAGTCATTAGTCAAGACCTAAAGTCCTCTCCATATATATCAACTGAGTGAAAGCTACTCTGTTTTTAACCTTCCTCCTCTCTTGCCACCGTAGACTTAGTTGGATAAATTAAAAAAACGATTGTACTAAGAGCTACATATATTTGGCCCAAAAGGGCAACAATTTTGCTATCTTTTCACTATCAATTTTTAGTAATGAATCTGATGTTTACATTATGCTGGCTATCTGGAATTGTTTTGCATTTCTTTTGTTGTAGAAAAAACTTTGTTACCATGCAGTGAAATTTGAACACATATTGACGAGCACTTTTATGCAGGCAAGCTTCTGCTGCTCTGCATGCAATTATGAACTGATGATTATTGTTGGTAACAGGTAAGTATTCTTTTTGCCATGTTACAGCTATAGTAAGCTTGCATGACCTTGTAGTCTGTGAACCTCAACTTTGCTTTCCATCCTGTTAAACTTTAGCACCAGGACCTGCTCAAAATTGTTTATGACTGACGAGGCAGTGATTTTCAGATTTAAATGAGGGGAAAAAAGTAATCAGAAGCCTAAAAAAAACTGGGGAAAAAATGAGGTGTTTTGGGATGCAAGGAACCCACAAAAAATGTGGAAACAAGTTCTACAAACTTTAAATAAATGATCCAAAAATCTCGAAAATAAAAAAGAGATTTCTGTTGCATGCACACCTCAGCTACAATGTGAATTTCTGGATAGGCATCACGGATGATGATATTTCTCATCATTGGTGACAATTTTTTTTAAATTTTCTACACCCCCCCCCCCACACACACACACACACACACACAATTTGTAGGCCTATTGAAAGCTACTCTGTGTTTTTAACCTTCCTTGTGTTTTATTTGGAGCTTCTATAACATGTTTCTTAAGCTCCAGTTATTTTTGTGGGGTTCCTTGTGTCCCAAAACATCTCGAGTGTTTTTTCCAAAAAAATGGAGGTGTTTGAGTATTTGTTTACCTCACTTGAATTCAAAAACCACTGCCGCGTCAGCCCAAAACTACTTTTACTAGGCTTAGGGGCCAAAGCTAAACAGAATTAAAAGTTGGGATACTCAAACTAAACTTATTAGAGTTAGGGTCAAAATTAGAGAAACTGGGAAACTTGAGGAGCGTAATATGGACTTATTTATATGTGCTTATTTGGCGTTGCTGCATGAATTTTTTCCACTTCATGCTAGATGACAAAGGTGCATTTGGGCCTTTGACTAGAGCAGGGGATTGTCATATGGGATTGCATGTTTGAATTGTTGGATGCACATTTGTAGATTGTTATCACTTTGACAGGGGCGGAGCTAGAGCAAAATAGAGGGGGTGGGGGGTGACACTATGTAACTCGATAGATGGTACTTGAAATATATGGTGAAAAATTGAGAGTTATAGTTGATTTTTGGATTGGGCCTTGGTGCGGCTGCACCCGCAACGATCTATATCGATCCACCCCTGGCTTTGGATGCAACTAATACTGTAATGTATATTGCAAGCAAGGTTATTATGGCGTCGTATTTCCTCACCTTATCACCGCCTAGGCGATTGGAAGGGGGTGGCTTGCCTCATCTTGCCTTACTGCCTTAAGAACCTTGATTGCAAGCTATGCTTGTGAGCTTGTCATTGTGTTGCTTTTCTGCATTGTATCTAATGCTTAAATCCATTGGTGGTTTCTTTTATGCATGATGCTTTTGGTCAGATAACAATATTCAATTTCTTAAACCTTTCCTCATGCTCTTGTTGAAACTAAAGTTACTGCTAACGGACAGATGCTGTGCATGCATTTTAGTTTGAAACAAAGGGTATTGGAGCATGTCAAGTGGTGAATATATGATTCTTTCTCCTTAATTCATGTACATCTACTCCTTTGTCCTTGGATCACCAATGCCAAATGCATCTAGGTACTGTCAATTTGAATCAAGTGAACACCATTACACCAATGGCATTTTATACTGCCCTTTTACAGTTTAGATTTAGAATATAGCTTGCCGTTGTGCCTGTTGTGTTTCATTGCTTGGTACAATATCACAATGGCGATATCCCTCCTTTCTTTTCCAGGGAGTTTAATTGACCTGGTAGAAGTTATGCTGGCATGTTTGTTTTATTGATTGCATTGTTTATTTTGTTGCAGAAATGTGCTGTTGGATTTTGTTCACATATGACCATGGGCAGTCAAAGATCTCTGCAACCTGCATTGCACATCTTATTCTTAGAGAACTACTGCAGTGGTTACTAATATACTGTGCTAGCCACTACATAGTATAACATTTCTGCAACGATACCAATTTCTCTTCTTGTTTACATGGAGTGCAACAGAGATGAGGCTGCTAGAGCGAAAGCACTTGCAGAAAGAAAAATGCTGGATAAGGATTTTGTCGGTGCAAAAAAGATGATTATCAAGGCGCAGCAACTCCTCAAAGAAGTGGATGACGTTGACATTCCAAAAATGTTAACTGTTTGTGATGTTCATTGTGCTGCTGGAGCTAAGGTGAATACTGAGATTGATTGGTATGGAATACTGCAAGTACCTGTAAATGCTGATGACGCACTGATAAAAAAGCAGTATCGTAAGCTTGCCCTTTTGCTACACCCTGACAAGAACAAGTTTGGAGGCGCGGAGGCAGCATTCAAATTAGTTGGAGAAGCAAACATAACTCTTACAGACCGGTCAAAACGTTCTGTGCATGACATGAAAAGAAACACCTTCAGGAGCGTTACAGCAAGACCCAATCATCAGCCACCAAAAAGACCTGCACCTGCTAGATCTAGTTCTACTCCTGTGAATCTCCATAATATGCATCAGCAACATCTGCATCAAGCCTCAAATCCTACAGGGCCGCAAACAACATTTTGGACTATTTGTCCAGCTTGTGGCATGAGATATCAGTACTACCTCTCGCTCTTGAAGAAGGCTTTGCGCTGTCAGAATTGTTTGAAGCCATTTATCGCACATGATTTGAAGGACCAAGCTATTCCTTCTGGGGCAAATCAGCGATCTGCTGGGGTTTGGAAAAATGCAGGCGCACCACAGAATTTTACAGGCCCTCAATCAAATGTCACTGGTCAGAAAGGTTGGTCTGCCACTCCAGGAGTTCATGTTAATATCGGTTCTCATCATGCTAATGTAAATACAAAGAGGGAAACTAATGGTAATGCAGGTGGGCTGAAAAACAAAATGAAATCTGCCCGGGCCACCAGGAATCCTTCAAAAGCTTCAACTGCTGGATTGAAAAGGGGCAGGAGGGTGGCATTTGAATCTAGTGAGTCTAGCATATCAGAAACCAGCAGCGACAATGAGGAAGAGGTTCTAAAACATGGTCCTTCTGAAAATAGTGCAGAGCCAGCTCAACAAACTCGCAGATCTAGCAGGCAGAAGCAAGAAGTTAGGTATAATGAGGATAGTGATGATGACGATGTTGAAGATGATGATAACACGGTTGAGGATGATTTTGTTGGCTCTCCTGCTTTGAAGAGGTTAAGAAGAAATGGCCTGTTCCATGGTGATCACAGTACTAAAACAGCAAAGCTGAATGAAGACACCGCTGGCCATAATGGTCTGAGTAACTGCAGTAACATAAAAGATACAAAGAACAGTGGTACACCATGTGAAGAGAAAACTTCTAATGGAGTTGAGCAGATGAAGAGAGAAACAATGCATGCTCGAGAAAATAGTGATGGCAAAGAAGAGCTATTTCATTCTGTCAGCAACAATGGTCTTGGTCTAAACAATGATGATGCTTCACATGACAATAAATTCACTTTCCCAGATCCTGAATTTTTTGATTTTGACAAACTTCGAGACGCAAGTCAATTTAGAGACAACCAGGTCTGGGCTGTCTATGATGATCAAGGCTGTATGCCTAGATTTTATGCTCGAATCACAAGGGTAAAAAAGATTCCAAAGTTTATGCTGCATTTTGTTTGGCTGGAGTTCAATCCTGCAAATAAAGCGGAGGAGGCATGGTCTTACAGGGGTCTGCCTGTTGCCTGTGGACACTTTAAGCATGGACAGTCAGAGACAACGGAAGAAACTGGTATGTTCTCCCGGACTATATCATTTGGGAGAAGCAAGACAAACAACTTCTATGAAATATATCCAAGAAAAGGTGAAGTTTGGGCCCTTTTTAAGGGATGGGATATTGGTTGGAGCTCAGACGCTGGCAATCACAAAAAGTTGAACCATCAGTATGATGTTGTTCAAGTCCTCTCTGATCTCACCACGAGCACTAGCATTATTGTCATGCCGCTTGTGAAGATAAAAGGCTATGTTAGCTTATTTATGCAGTCTGGAGAGGCAGCTCCATATGTGATACCTCAGGGTGACACACTAAGGTTCTCTCATTGTGTCCCACATCATTTGATGAGCGGAACTGAAAAACAAGGCATTCCAGAAGGATCTCTTGAACTTGATCCTGCAGCGCTTCCCTTCAACTTGGAAGAGGCTTTTCCTTCTGCTAACGCAGAATGCAGTTCTGTAAGAAGTCAGGGCCGTGACTCCAAACATGCTGGTTTGTCCAGTGGAGATAGCAAAGGATCCATGAATGTGGGGCAGGGGCAACATACAAAATCCGTGAATGCAGGGATCCCTACAAAGACACCAGAGGAAGAGAAAATCAAGCATAGCACTCATCTGCCTGAAGTTACAGATGTCGATGACGATGACGATGACGATGACGATGATGATAACATTTGCCAAACAGAGTATGTATGCGCTGAACCAGAATTCTATGATTTTTCAGAAATAAGATTGCTCCAAAGGTTTTCACCTGGGCAGATCTGGGCTCTCTATAGTGATATAGATAAATTCCCCAATTACTATGCATTCATACAGAAAGTTGATCTCAAGAATGATAAAGTACAAGTTAGATGGCTGGATGTCTGTCCTCAAGGAGAAATGGAGAAAAGATTGTCCCAAGAACGGACTATTAGCATTGGAACCTTTAGGCTTTCCAGTATCCATGAGATGGTGACTTACACTGGTACAGATGCCTTTTCTCATCGTGCAGAGGCCAGATCTACTGGCAGAAAAGGCGAATATGAAATATTTCCTCGTCTTGGTGAGATATGGGCGGTTTACAAAAATTGGAGAGCTGGATGGACTGCGCAGGATTTTGAAAAATGTGAATATGAACTGGTGGAGATATTTGGCTGTACTGATTCCTCCATACAAGTTCGGCTTGTGAGGAAGGTGGATGGTTATAAGATGGTATTTATGTCATACAGAGCAGCAGGTTCTGTGAAGACAATAAGGAAGGATGATTACCCCAAGTTCTCTCACCAGATTCCCTGCTTTCATTTGACACATGAAAAAGGTGGCCAGCTTCAAGGCTATTTCGAGCTCGATCCCCTATCACTACCAGAGGGATTTCTCTACTGATTCGATCTGAGATAAACCTTATCAACATCGAATCTGGAGCCTTCCTGTGATGAAGTTTCTGGAACTGAGGTTCGGTGAATGTTACGGTCCACAATTCAACATTTTTTCAAGTGACAATGACATAAGATGTCTGGATTTGAGCATTCGTAGCACTAACGTTGTTACAGTTGACTCAATCTGCACAATGAAGGCATTGACTTTTGGACTCTTTGCTGGATGGCTGTCCTGCAGCTGCAATTCACAAGACTTGTAATTTTTTTGCAGTTGCTGTTTGTAGTTAGCATTAGTTGTATCTATGGTTTTAGTTCTGGTGTAAAAACTGCTACTTCTTTTTTTCTCTTGTAGTGCACTCAAATGGTAGTACTATGTTTGAAAAGTGAGGTGCCAGCCTGATTAATTATCAGAAGAGTTCAATTGGCCACCCTTCCATGGAACTGAAACATGAAACCGAGCTATAGCCTGGCTAGGCTGATCGATCAATGTGTCATGCTTGTGTTGCTGTGCGGGGACATAGATGACATCCTCCTGCGGCTTATCAGAGCTTATTTCTATTCGCATCTCCCTGTGTATAAATGTTACACGTCCTAATTTTGATATGGCCATGTATTTTCTTGAATTGTTTATTTCCTACAAGTAAGTATTAGATGAGTCTGCCAAACCTTTTTGAATTTCGTTACAGAATTGTTATGAGCAGGCATATATTAGTTGAATTTACCATTCTGAAACATGAAACGACCAAGCCAGATAAAGAAATGTTGGAGGGGAAGGGCGCAATCACGGGAGGGGAAGAAGCAGATTAATCTTATTTACTTGCTTTCTGATTACAAAAACTCCACTTCAATAGCTGGCCAAAAGCCCAACTAAGGGTCTGTTTGATCTTATGGTCTAGTAAAGTTTAGTTGGCTAAAATTAATGTATAAAACTTTATATCACTTTAGCACACTTGTGTCCTCTAAAGTTTTTATGAGGTTGGCTAACTTGACAACACTTTAATTTTTCTGTTTGAATTCTTAAGAGAGTGGTCCAAAGTTTGTCCAAACGTGGCCTAACTAATTCTAAAACAAAAACAACCCTGATCTGAAGGAACCAACTATAAATATCCTAAGCAACTAACTGAATATCCTCAACAATAACTGGGATGACGCTTGTCGTCCTAGGCTCCTATGCCACTGCCTCAGCCGCCGTCTTCTTGCGCCTAGCTTATGGCCATGCTGAGCAAAGAAGAATATTAGAATCATAATATCGTGTAAAGGGTGTATTTACTACCAACCACTCATTATCAGTAAATTCTTAGGTCGGAAGCTGTTATTATGATATTTTTGTTTCACCTGTAACTCTGTAAATTCAATTTATTTTTTGTTTGTCTACCATTCGTCCTTTTTCTATATATTATAGCTTCACATGGATGTTACTGCCCAAAATCCCTTTTTTAGTGAGGTTACATTCGCCCTTTTTCCGAAAATAATGGTCCGTCTTCACAAACAAAATGTTCTAAGTCCAGAAGAATAATATTACAGATTTAGAAGAATAAATAAAATTTTATGTAATATTACAAAACATGAAAATGAAACAAACCTAGAAATATAGGAAATAAAAAACAAAACATGAACATAAAAAAATATTCTTCTAAATTTGTAATATTGTTCTTTTAAACCTAGAATATTTTGTTTTTTGAAGACTGCCATTGTTTTTGAAACATAGAATATGGTCTCTGCTACATAAAAGAATGTTCTATCTTTATGAGATAAATGTTGGTTAACAAAACTTTGTCTAAATATATCCATGTAAGGTTTGTTTTGAAGGATTTATTATAAGAAATATATTGGTGTAACCAGAATTTTATTTGGACGGTTAGTTTACACACTATGGTTTTTTAAGTTTCAAAAACAATTTTCAAATGCTGACATCAGCAAATTTGGACCTACTGCATGTGTGTCCTGAGGTAAGTGGGAATGGATGGTCGGCACAGTATTAAGGCACCACCTGGTCGGACCCTAGTAGCCTCCCCCCTATTGTCAACCATGATCGGCTAGCTCACATGATGTGGGGATCGAGGAGTTGCTCGGTTGGGCCATTTTTCTTGTTTGGGTTGGCCCATACGTGTCTAGTACAAGTATCTGATGCAATATGTAACCAAATTTCACAATGAATACGTATCCTAGGGCTATCAAAGCCATATCCGTATCCAACAGGCGATAAGCTACCCTTATGAGTATGCACATATGAACTTGACCTAACCTCATGAAGAATAAAAAGTTACGAGAACATTAGATAATTACAACATTTTTTTTTTTTTTTACTACTACGAATCAACATTTGCAACCTAAACTTTTTCATGCAAAAGCAATTCTAACCTAAAATCCAATTTCAATTATCCTTGTTTATTTCAAAAAATCAATTTGCTAATTGCAACTCATTTCGTTCCCTCTTGCTAACTTCTAAACTTTGCGCCCTAGTCTCGATCCGATCTTATTGGATCGCAACATCCACATAATCTAAAAAACCAAACAAATTCAAATCACGATATTGTCTAGTCAAGTTGCTGAATTGAGCGTTTTGCCCATGAGGTGACTACATTCGCAGCGGCAAAGGCAAACCGCTAGCTATTGTTGGTGGTCATCGCACCCCTATACCATAAAGAGAACACCTCCCTCCATCGTTCTCTTCATCTTTTCCCACTTGAACTAATGACATGCATGTGGGACTTAACCATGGCCACGGTGGACTCACCAAATTGGGTTGATACGTTACCAACTTGGTCCGAGTTGGGGCAAATCATCAATCAACCACATAAATAAAGAGGTCAAAAAGTACTAGTGGTCTCCCAAGTAGTCCTCTTGCCATAAATCGATCTTGTAATTCAACATCAAAGTGATTTCCTTTTCTCTCTTTCTCTCTTACAATTTTGTTTAAAACTTCCTCCATCCACAACAGCCACGGAAAACACAGGATTTGGAAATGCATGAAAGTTTCTAATGGAGCGTGTGGATACATCACATAACAAACACATTGTTAGAAGAGAGAGATAGATATAAAGAAAGGGCGTGGCTAGCGACTGCCCGTTTGCCGCCCCTGCACTTCGTGTACGGCCTGACCCCGTGTGGCGTTTGCGCCCCACTCGACCCCACACGGCGTATGTGCCCCCACCTAACCCTACGTGACATCTGCGCCCTACACGACCCCTGGCGCCCTCCAGCAGCTGCAGCAGATTGCAACATGTGTAAAAACACCCCGATCTACTTTTAAAACATCCAAATGCAGCATTTGAAACATACGTGGCATATGAAGCACTTGAAACATGCATCTGAAACACTCGCAAAAATCCAAAAAAAACTCTTGAAAACCATTGCAAAACATACACAACATCCAGATAAAACATTTGAAACATATGCAACATCTAGATAAACATACTTGCAACATGTGTCTGGAAAAACAAATGAAACATTGGAAACAAATGTTTGCAACATGTGTGTACACCCATTGCAACATATGCAACATCTCAATCTACTTTTTCAACATCCATACGAAACACTTGTAAGATACCTCTAAAACATTTGAAACATATGCTTCCAACATCCGAGGAAGGAAGGAAGCGCGAGGTGCAGTCAGAGAAGCTCGCTCCGGGTCTGGCCACTCCGGATCTCATGATGTCGCGAGCTGAGGTCGAGCATCGCGGCGGTGCCGACGTCGACAGCGTCTACGACCTCTTAGTGGGAATGGCAGCGTCGGCAACACCTCGACCCCGCGAGGGACGGGCACGGTGTGCAGGGGCGAGGACCGGGCATAGCGCGACGAGGCGGAGCGGTCGCCATGGGGGTGGAGCACGACGCAACAGCAGACGGCGCGTGGCTCGACGGGGATAGGGGCAACGCCGCAAGGCGGCTTGGGGCGGGCGAACGACGCGGTGATCCACGACGAGCGAAGCGAGGAGTTGGGGATTTCTGTCGGCTGTCGCAGGGTAGATAGAGTAGATAGAGGAGAGAGAGCATAGATGGGCATGTTGGGCCCGGTCGGTGTGCTGGCTCGGGAACAGGAACGGGTCGTCCAGATGGACACACCCGGATGGACGCCCGCACCAGAGTAATAGCGATAAAGAAAAGTTTCCAAGTGATTGGATCTCATGTTAGATTTCCTCCAAAATTTATATGGATTAAGCCATTACATAGGAAGGGCCACATAGAAAAAAATACTATAGATTTACAATCCTATAAAATTTCTTCATCATAAATCCTATGTTTCCAAAGGGACCAACACTCGCAGGATAGATATCTATATCTATACCTAATAATAAGAGGCAAAATTTCAGCCCATTTTTTGTCCATCTATTTTTTTTGTCCGTCTCCCTCTAACTACTGAACAACGGAGAGTTTCTTCCGTTCGAACTTCTATATATAACCCGCGCTCATACAAGTTAGAATAGTTTTTGTCTAGCACAATACGGAGTCCGATTATATCTGTTCTTTTATCTTCTTTAAGTAACTTGGATAGCTAGGAATCCTAATTCTAATCCAAATAAATTTCCTAATCCCATATAATATAAATAGGAATTCTAATCAAATAGTAAAAATAAAAGTACAAATTTGTATACGTATCTCATCTTATCTTGGTTTCTATTTTTAAAATTTTTTTCCGTTTGCTTTTTCTCCCGACCCTGATTCTTGTTTCTATTGTTTAATTCTTTTTTTTTATTCCTGTTCACTTTTTTTTTTCCATCCGTGACTTGGTTTTGTGTTTCACCGGTTCGGTTTCTTTCAGTCGTTTTTTTTCTTTCGTCCATATTTTCCTTTTTCTTTTTCCAGGTTTGGTCGGCATGTTTTCTTTCAATGGTTTTTTTATTTTTTTCCCCAAGTTTCCATCTCTTATGAGTTTTCGTTCCGTGATTTATTATGTTCTTTTTATGCGGGCTTCTTTAAGTAACTTGAATAGTTAGAGGAATCATAATCCAAAATAGATTCATCCTAATTCTAATCAAATAAATTCTCTGATCCCATATAACATGA